AATCCCTAGCTCTAAGAGAGATGCAAATCAAAACAACTATGAGATATCATCTAATCCCAGTAAGACCAGCAAAATTTAACAGAACAGCAAGCAACAACTGCTGGGGAGGCTGTGGAGAAACTGGAACCCTTATTCACTGTTGGTGGAAGTGTAAAATCGTGCAACCACTGTGGAAAGCAGTGTGGCGCTTTCTCAAAGAGTTGCAAATAGAGATACCATTTGACCCAGCCATTCCACTACTGGGAATAAACCCTAAAGAGAACATAATCAACATCCAAGCAGATATATGCACACCCATGTTTATCACGGCTTTGTCCACAATAGCAAAGAGTTGGAAACAACCCAAGTGCCCATCAACAAAAGAATGGATAGAGAAACTGTAGTATATTCACACAATGGAATACTATGCTGCATTGAAAGACAAGGAACTCATGAAATATTATTAAAAATGGGTGACCCTGGAGGACATTATGCTGAGTGAAGTATCTCAGTCACAAAAGGACAAATACTGCAAGGTGCCACTGTTGTAGAATGAGACTGTCATCAGGGTTGGGGTAAGAATGAGAAAAACTTGATAAATTATGTATATTGCATTGAAACAGATGAGGGACAGAACAGTTTAAAAGTGATATATGATAGGGTATTATGGTTATCACTAGAGTCCAGAATTAAGTTTGCATAGTGAAGTGTACTAGGGGCGGTGGGGTGGAGGTGGGGTGTAGGGGGATTGTATACCAATGAAAGAATTTTTCTTTTACTTTTCAAAGAGAGGAGCAAACTGGGGTGGGGAGGGGTGGGCAGGGAGAAAAGTGTAGCAGTGAATGAATGAAAATCCAAAATCTCTATAAAGTTTCATTAAAATTAATAAAATAAAATTTTAAAAAAAAGAGGTTTCAAAACATAAAGGTAAAAGTGTAAACTCAGAAATATAGTAGATGGGAAAGGAAAAAAGAGAATATTTGATAAAATTGGAGCTTCAAAGGCAGGAACACATTTTTCTAAAGGAGACAAAAGAATATATTCCAGGCAGAAGCAGCTGTTAATGTAAAGGAACTAATAAACAGAAGTCCATGAATAGTTAAGACTGTAACAAGACTGTAAAAAACCAAATAATGAAAGATCTACTAGGCAGTGCAGATGGATGGTGGCTTAATCTCAGAAACCTGATTTTGTACTTGGAAGGCAAGAGACATATTGAAGCCTTCAGATATGGAAGTAATGTGATCCCATCTGGTTTTGAGGTCCCTAAGTCCATTCACAGTGTAGACTGAAGAATAAAATCTACTTTTATTATCTTTTCACATGTTAAATATTGAGAGGATGGACCAGGATTGGTTAGTATTGTGTTCTGTTGTACAGAGGGTCACTGGTCACTAAAAGCGGTAACTACTTCAACAGCTTCTAGGGGGGAAAAAATCCAAAATACGGTCCTCCGTTGGATTTTCCAACTTTATTAGAAAGCAAAACAAAATAGTTACTTCACCATTATGGAACTTCCATTCCTTTTAAATGATTTACAAATAAGTTCTTAAAAAGAATGTTTCCCTTTCTACTTAGGGCACTAACGTTATGCTGAGCAGGGACTGCCTAACCTTTTAATTAGCTATGACGACTCCACATGAACCTATCAGTAGTTCCACTATTGCCATCTTCTTACCTACACTCATTTCTTTGATGTTCCTGAGGAGCTGCTAAAATTCTAGTTGATTTTCATCTTATTCTATTAAGTTTGGATAGAACATTTTGGTCCAAAGTTACAAAAAGAAGAGTAGAAATGGTCCCCTAAACACCATCACTCTGAAAGTACTCTTCAGAATGGTACTTACCTTCTAGATAAGCCAAGCAAAAAGTAAATCAGTCTCGAGAATGCAAATAAATGTTAGCCCACTTTTTACCAAAAACCACCAGCTGTTAATGAGTTTGTTCTCAGCATCATGATGATGACCCCACATGCATCAGAGCAGAACCGTGTCTTACACAGTTTTTGTGGCAGTTTTTGGGAAGACAGATCACTAGATCTTTTTGCTGGTGCTTTAGAGTGGTCCTGATTCATCAATCTTTTCATTAGCAGCCAGGTTTGTTAATTATTTCAATCATCCAGGTAAATCTTTTGAAAATGTTTCACTAGTTGATAAAACTGATGATATAAGTTGCTTCTCCTCAAATCTTTATAAACAGTCTACTATTTTTAGAGATTTAATCTGTTTCTCAGTATCCATACCCGGAGTACTAAATGGATTTAAAGTTATTTCACACACATCCCACAGAAAAGAAATCTTTCAACCTGGGATGCTGTTTGCTTAAATCAGTTGTCCTAAGTACTTTACAAATTTTGGCTAACATTGAGAAGAATGGGATTTCCAAATTGTGCTCAGGTGAAACCTGTACCAATACCAAGAGGCTGTTGTAATAACAGAGCAAGGGAATACTGCATGATTTAAAATGAGGAAAGGTGTGTGTCATGATTTATCCATTCTCTATACCTATTTAATCTATATGCTGAGCAAATTATTCAAGAAGCTGGGCTCTATGAAGAATAATACGGCATGAGGATTGGCGGAAGATTCATCAATAATCACTGGTATGCAGATGATAAAACTTTGCTTACTCAAAGTAAGGAGGACTTGAAACACTTGCTGCAGAAGGTTAAACACAATAGCCTTCAATATGTATTGCATCTCAACATCAAGAAAAAAAAATCCTTGCCACTGGACCAACAGGAAGCATCATGATGGATGGAGGAAAGAATGACTTCACCTTAGTTTGATCCACAATCAATACACTTGGTACCGGGAGTCAGAGACCTCTCCAAATTACTGAGGAGTAATGATGTTAGTTTGAGAAATAAGGTATGCCTGATTTAGGTCATGGTTTTTTCAGTCACTTGCTCTGCATCTGAGAGCTGGACAATGACTATGGATAACAGAAGAAGTGATGCCTTTGAACGTAGTGCTGGAGAAGAGTGCTGAATGTACCATGCACTGACAAAAGAAAAAACAGATACATCTTGGAAAAGGTGTAACCAGAGTGCTCCTTGGAGGTAAAGAGATGAAGATCCGTCTCTCATACTTTGGACTGGACATGTTGCTAGAATAGGTTATTCTCTGGAGAGGGACATCAGGCTTGGGAAGGTGGAGAGGCAGTGAAAGAGAGGAAGAATCTTGACCGGGTGGGTTCAAACAGTGACTGTGGCAATGGGTACGAGTGTGTCAAGAGATTGTGAGGATGGTACAAGATAGGACAGTGTTTAGTTTGGTTGTTCACAGGGTTGCTATGAGTTATACTTGACTCAGCAGCACCCAACAGCAACAACAAGTCCTGTATAAAACAGGGATGAGTTGGCAAGGGAGAAAAAAAGAAAAGTTTTTAGAGTAAATAAAAAAAGAATAAAGTCTGCTTAGAAGTTATGGAAGTTTTTTACTTACAAAGCCCCCAGAATTAACAGTATCAGGATTTTTTGGTCTTACCTAGTGGATCAATCAAAATGTACTTAAATAGAACAATAGCATTTTAAAGGGACTTCTTAGGTTTTTCCTGTGTTTTTTGTTGTTAAACTAAGTTCCACAACTATATTTACAAAGTTTTGTTAACACAATGTTTACAGTATCTATACATCTATTTCTCCGTCTTTCACTTTTGAAGTGGGGAAAAAACAGAAGTGATGGTTAAGATTTGCCTACCATCCCTTAAAGAAGGTAAGCGAGGCTCTGCTTTAGTAGCAAAAACTCCGTATAAATCAGAAATTTATAACTGAATACTGGTTTGCTGTTGTTGTTGTTGTGTACCATCGAGTCGAAACTGACCCAAAGCTGACCCTCCGGCAGATTTTCAGAGGCATTTTATTGCACAGGAGGAGACTACCCATCCTTTTTCCACAGAGCAACTAGTTATTCAAACCGTGTGCCTTCAGGATTGCAGTGCAGCTTCTTGCCACCTCTGGTGGCCTAGTGAAATCTCATCACGTGAAATTAACTCCTTCTAAAAACCCGCTGAAGGGTCAGCAATGGGTCAGTTCTGGCTCGACAGTACACAATAACAGTGGTAAGAACCTGAGCTACAATCTCGAAGGCCTGCAGTTCAAATCCACTAGCTGCTCCATAGAAGAAGAATGGGTAATCTGTTCCCATGTGATTAATTGCCTCTGAAAAATCTGCTGGAGTGGAGGGTCAGTATGTGTTGGTTCTAGTTCAACGACATAAAACAACCAAAAAAGAGGTAATAAAATTCAGAAACAGAAGTGGTCCGATGCTGAGATCAGAATCCAATTAAAAAAAAAGAGGTAATAAAATTCAGAAACAGAAATGGTCCACTGCTGAGATCAGAATCCTTAAGACATTTTTCAATTTCTTTTGATTGTTCCATAATGCCTTGTACAACACTATGAATGTATAAATGCTACTGAAGATATATGAATGGTGTGTATACTAAGTGTGCATGTACATTTATGTTATTACAAGTTTATTAATAAATATACTGAATGAAACATTTATACTTATGTGAACCTATTGCTTGTATTTGTTACTTTCAGCAAATTCCTAACCATTATATTGAAGAAGTATGTATCACATTATTAGAATTCTATTGCTTAAACAATAGTCATAAGTGGCAAAAATAGGTAGGTGCTTGATTACCAGGCTAAAGATTGGCAGTTCAAACCCACCCAGTGATGCTGTGGAGGACAGGCCTGGTAACTCCTTCCAAACGTAAGAACTTTGAAAACCTTATGGAATAGTTTTCCTTTGCATTCATGCAGCTGTCATAAGTAGAAATTAACTCAATGGTAACTGACAACAAGAAACATATTACACTTCCTGCAAACTTAAAAATAATTCTAAAACTCCTGAGTACACTTAAAAAGTACTGAATTTTCCAGGTAGTTTTACATCCCTCACACCAAATACTATCCTCCCAAATTATTCCCAAGAATATAATTTTAATACTCTTCAGGCATAACATGCCAGTTTCGAGTGATATTTTTATTAATATAAAAAAATACTTACTTAGACTACTTAGTTGTCTGATTATATTTGCCAAAGAAATATTGGTCACACATTCTAGCTCATTCTTAATGCCTCTAGGCAGTGCTGTGTGGCACAAGTGCCTCGGATCGATGTTTCTTTTTACTAATGGCATGTTGAGATCAAGCCCAGTGTCAGGTCACCTGCAGGAAACAAAAACCAGAAAATAAGTTAATATTACTTAATATTGTCTTTTGACTCTTGAGAAAACTGCCTAATTACTGCTTTAGGAAATAGCCATCATCATTCATTCTTTGTCAGATTAGGAAAGGATGGGAAAACAAACCAACCCACCCTACACAGAACACACCAACTGCCTATCATTTAACTTCTTTTACTTGACAGATAACCTTTTAACAAGAAAGCTCACTTATGAACTGCTAAAACACAAACTAAACTGTTGAATTTTTATAGTTCGTTTAGGCTACAGTTAAAAACACTACCATAATTCACAGTCAAAACCTCAAACTTAACTGCTGCCAAGTCAGTTCCAACTCACAGTGACCCTCCACTGAGTTTCCAATGTTGTAAATCTCAAGAGGCAAGTAACTGCCCATTGTTCTGTGGAGTCGCTGGTGGAGTCAAACCATTGGAGACACGTGTCCTTTAGATTAGCACACAACACGGATGGCCACTACCATAAAAACCAAAACCTTCTCGTCTGTTGCAGTACTCATCTGCTTTTAAAAGTAGTCGAGAATGCAGGCAATATAAAAAAAATGCCCGAATTTTCTTCACATACTTTCCTGCATTCTAAAGCAATTAAACTGTCATTTATTGAAACAAAAATCAAGAGACTGTAAGATCTGCAAATTAAAGAAAACATTCACTAGAATGAAAAGCAAATTTTTCTGGATTTCCATCTTAACTCATTTCTTTGGCAGGAATACTAAGACTGCATCACAAGAAGAAAGAAGGATAGGCATGGAAGATAATTGGAAAAACAAAATTATTTTGTTTTACAAAGATGACACATTTTTTACAAGATAAAAACATCAACTATACTACCATAGGGAGCTCTGGTGATGTAGTTTGCAAAGAGGTGTGCTGTTAACGCAGAGCAGAGGTTCAAATACACCAGCAGAAACATAGGAAAAAGGCAATTTCTTTCACAGACTTATAGTCTTCCAAAAACTCATGGGAGGGTCAACTAAGAGTCTGTTCTGACTCGATGATAATGAGTCTGAATTACATCATCACCACAGAATTCATAATATCCAAGCCAAAACATAAAGAAAAGTGTGTGCCTCTCTTTAAGGAAAAATAGTTTGTTCTTTTATGAACACATAACAATTAAAAAAGCTTTGCGAAGACATGTTATGAACAAATTTTTAAAAACAAATCTATTTTACATCATCACAAAATGTTTAGATTATTTGAATCTGTAAAGTGTTGTTATACGTTTATTCTTTAATAGCATATATTATTTTCCCCTTTAGATGAGATTGGATAAAAAGAAATAAGAACAGATAATACAGCATTTGGAGCAAAACCAAAAATTAATAATAAAAGCTGAACGTGTCCTAACATTTTTAAATCTATGAAGACAAGTGGGACTTTACATTAAGAATAAGCTCAGGTTTATGTTATATATCCAAATTGTCACTACATTATTTTTTTTCAAAATTAAGAGAATTTATTCAGGAAAAAGAGGTACATTTGAATGTAGAGAGAATACCAGCCCAGGTGAGTGAAAACCGAGGACTCTAACTAAAGAGTTTCTAACAAAGACAGATGTCGTCCAGTGAATGAAGGAATTATACTAGTTATTTCATGAGTTCATCTTTGGTTGAAGTTATAAGTAGGACAGGTTAAGGAGGGAGTAGTAAGTGCCTATTGGATAATTCAACACAGAGGCTTTCAGTGATTTTTCTTTCCTCTTTTAATTGTAATTTGAGTGAAGGTATTGTTGTTGTTATGTGCCCTCGAGTTGCTCGCGACTCATAGTGACCCTATATACAACAGTCCTAAACTCTGCTCTGTCCTGTGCCAATCGCACTGTCTCTGATACTCCTACCCCGAATATTCCAGTCACTGAAGCAATCCACCTCATAGAGCGCCTTCCCCTCCTGCACTGTCCCTCCACTCTCCCAAGCATGATGCCCCTCTCCAAGGACCAGTCCCTGAGCCTCAGGATCCTTGCCCCCAAGGAGCAGACTGGTTTAAACCCTCTCCAGGATGAATCTGTTTGTCTTCCTAGCAGTCCATGGTACCCTCAATACTGTTCTCCAGCACCACAGCTCAAAGGCATCAATTCTCCTTTTATCCTCCTTAGTCACTGTCCAACTCTCTGACGCATAACAAGTGATTGCAAAGACCATGACCTGTATCCGACACACCTTAGTCTCCAGAGTGACACCATTGCGCTTCAATACCCTGGAGAGGTCCCTAACAGCAGACTTTCCCATGGCAATACGTCTTTTAATTTCCTGGCTGCTGGTGCCAAGAGTGTTGACTGTGGAGCCAAGCAAACTAAAGCTGTGTACAATCTCAATCTCTTCACCATCCATCCTGATGCTGCCAATTGGTCCAGTGGTGAGAATCTTTGTCTTCTTGACATTGAGCCTCAACCATATTGGAGGCTGCAGTCCTTGACCCTCTGCAGCAAGTGCTTCAGGTCCTCCTCAGTTTCAGCAAGCAGGGTTGTGTCATCTGCATAGTGCAGATTGTTGATGAGTGAAGGTATACAAAGCAAATTAATTTTCATTCACTCATGTATACACATTTTGTTCAAGAACATTGGGCTTAATACCCCCAATTTAATCATACTTCCCCCCTTCCTCTCTTTAATTCTGGCTTCCATGAATCCTTCTGTTCCGTTCTGTCTTTCCCCCCCTCCTCTGGTGATATTGTGTTGACCATCCCCTTACTGGATATTGCCCTTTCATTCACCCATCTAAATTGTGTCCTCTATGTATTTACTAATTTTTACTCCCTCTCTCCCGTCTTAGTAAAGTTTGTTTCCTTTTTTCCTTTATTTTTTTAATTGTGATGAGTGGATGTTATAAAAACAAATTGGTCTTTCATTCAACAATTCACAAGCATTGATTGTTTCATGACACTGATTAGAATCCCAACATCATAACAGCATTCTTTCTACTTTCTCTTTGTGCTTCTTGGTCTTACTCTTTTTTGCCAAAATCCCTGGGCAAATGTTGCCTGTTGCCAGTTAAGACAGATTTTTCTAAGGAATGTGTTCCCTCCTTTATATTACCCATCACCTATGTTACTTGATGTCATGGAGTCTGCTGAAGCTTAGCGACCCAATGTACAACAGAATGGAAAAACCCTGCCCAATTCTGTGCTATGGTCACAATCTCAGCTGTGCTTAAACACACTGTTGCAATTACTAACCCAATCTATCTCATTAGGTATCTTTCTTTCTTTGCTGACCCTCCACATTTCCAAGCATGAGAGCTGTTTATTTAAAAGTACGGCTTCCTTCTGATGATATGTCCACACACATAAGAAAAGTTCTCACTATCTTTGTCCTTAAGGAATACTCTGGCTGCACTTCTTCATATATAGATTTATTCGTTATTTTGGCTCAAGCTCACTGCCGTTGAGTCACTTTCAACTGACTGTGACGTACCACCAGGCTTCCACAGCTGTTAAGTCAAAACAAGAGGAGACGATACACCTTTCACCCTTGAAGCCACTGGGCAATTCAAACCACTGAGGATGATCAGCTTTTGGGTTAACAGCACAGCTCATTATGGATCACCTCAAAATAGTCCATATTATTTACAATGCCAGAATTCAAAGGTATCCCATTGTTAAACTTTCACATGCATATGACTCAAATACAAAACTCTCTGTCCTCAACTCAGAACTAACTCAACTGGGTTTGTGAGGCTACAAATCACATGCAAGATTGTCCAGTGGATCTGCTGGTGGATTTTTTTTT